TGTTTCTTTTTATATACAAAATACCAGTAAAAACTTGTGTAACAGAATCTCCAAGGGATTCACTAAATTCAAAATAATCTTGTTCAGAAGGAAGAGAAAGAGAAGCTCTGATGACAATAAATGCATTGAAGGTAGTGAAAAATCTGTAGTCAACAGATTGCATAAATATAGATTTCAACAGATGCTACAGTTTGAATGTGTCCCTCCAAAATTTTTTTAAAACTTGATCCCCATTGTGCTGGTATTAAAAGGTCAGGCCTTCAGAAGGTGAGATGGCTGTAAGGGTGATGCCTTCGTGAATGAATTGATGCCCTTATAAAACAGGCTTCAGAGAGAGATGGTCCCTTCCACCTTCCACCACCTGAGGACCAGCATCAAGGTGCCATCTTGGAAGCAGAGAGCACTCTTCACCAGACACCAGTGCTGGCACCTTGATCTCGGGCATCCCAGACTCCAGGATGGTAAGAAACAAATTTCTGTTCTTTTTAGTTTGTCTTGGGCAGTTTGTTAGAGCAGCACAAATGCATGAAGATAGTAAACTGAAAATTACTCTGTCAAATAACTACAGAAGCTTCTAAATGCTTCTTCTCAATATCTATACTTATCATTGACAGGTAACTGTGTGGACTAGCACTGGTCCCCAGCTCACACTTGGAACAACACATTATGATAAGAACTATTGCTTATCATAATTGGAATTCTTAAATATTGAATTTGAGATACAACAAGGTCTACCTGGAGTTCCACCTGTATATTTGAAAAGTAAACATTTAAAAAGAAAGGCTGCTGATCAAGCAGCACACACCTGTAATCCTAGTGACTTGGGAGGTTGAGGCAGGAGGGTTGCAGATTTAAGGCCAGGCTTGACAACTTAATGAGATATTTTTTAAAAAATAAATAAATAATTTTAAAAAAAGTTAGAGGAGCTCAGGATGTATGTAGTTAGGTAGGAAAACACCCATGGGTTCAATTCCTATAACGCGCGCATGCACACACACACACACACACACAGAATCATACAGAAAAGTGTAATCCTCAAAAAATCTGTTTTGTTGTTGTGTTCTACTTGCCTTTTCAAGCAAGTTGAAGGTCCAATAATTTCAAAAGTATTTGATAAGCATGAACATCGGTTCATGATGATGGTGGGAAAAACCCCTATAATGCAATGTCTTACTGTGCCTGTTGAGCACAGAGAATAGGAATCTGGGCTCTTACGTGAGAGGAAATTAGATGGATTACTTATTCTGCCACTTCCTGGCTATGTGGTTTGGGGTCAGTAACTGCTAACATCCCCCAAATGTCATATGTTACAGGTTTGCTTCCCAGAGTGGTGCTGTTGGGAAGTCTTTATGTCAAAAGCGACAGAGGGACCTCAGCATCCTCCTAACTCTTTTCTGCTCCCTAGCCATAAGGCAAATAGTTTTGCTCCTCCACATGCTCTGTCCAGGATCTGCTGCCACAGGCCCAAAGCCAGGGGGGCCAATGGATCATGAATTGGAAGCTCCAAAACTGTAATCCAAAATAAACCTTTTCTCTTTATAAGTTGTTATCTCAGGTGTTTGGTATAGTGACAGATGCTAACATAGTAATGAAACCTCCGGGTCCCACTTTCTTTAGCCATAATACAGAGCACATAACAGGATCTACATCATACGATTATTCTGAAGATGAAGGAGGATTGTGCCTATCAGGAGCTTAGTTAATGGTGAGTGATAAACACTGAGTTTTGCCACAAATTTGGTAAATGATATCCCTCCTGTATAAAAATGACATGACCCCCAGTGTGGCCTCCTGCAAGAAAGCCACCCTTTGTGTCCTGACTTGGAGCTACTTGTTCCAGGGCCCAGCAGACTCAGAGGGCTGCATCTCCATCACACAACCAAGCAGGAAGAGTTGACGCATGGTGAACACAGATTGGAGATGTAAAGGAACTTATTTCGTCTCCAAATCCCTCTGAGAACAGAGACTCCTATTCTTCCATGTAAATCCATTACCACCAAAGCATTTCCAATATCGACACCAGAAACAAATACACATTTTACCTCTCTCAAAAGCTGCCTGTGACATCACCTTACACAGCTGAAACTGAAAGGCTCTTTGATGCTGGGCTCAGTTCTGTTGGACAACAAAAGCTGAGCTGGTTCTGATGGCAGACCTTAATAAGGTACTCAGTCTTCTGCTGTAGGTGCCCATCAGTGACAGATACACTGCCTCCAGCATTTGGAGGAGGGAAAATCAAATTATTGCCCAGGAGAATGGCAGAGCAAAATGGGGTAATGGGTGAGGGAGGGTAAGATGTGTGTGTATGTGTGCGTGTTTCTGTGTGTTCTTTTTCACACTGGTACTCCCCCCGACTGTGCACTGTAAGCCCTTTGAACACAAACCATGTGCTGTCAGTGCTTATACCATTAAACTCCAAGGGCTATTAGTGTTTATGACAAAGAAAATAATTAGGAATTAGGCAGCCCAATGGATCTTTTCCAGTTCTTTGAAAGCTAATACCTCAAGCTCTTAAGAGTTTGCAGAGATGAGTTTCAGAGTCTTTGTTTACTGGAGGGCCTCCTCCAATTGCTATCCTTGGCCCATCCATCTGGGGTTCACCTGGGCATCTCCATTCCCACACTGCCCCCTTCCTGACTGTACAAGCAAAAGTCCCATAAAAGACCACCTTTGCCAGTGATCTGTCATTCCTTCCCTGATGTCAGTTGCCTTTTTTTTTAGTTCCTCCCTGATGAACTGAAATCTGGCCCCAGGCACACACCATTTGTCTACACTCAGGCCTTCCCAGGCCTATCTTATTTTGGCATCTTTTCTTTGGCTTTAAAGACATTGCTGGTTTCCTGGAACAAGAAGGATCCTAAACACTTATCTCTCTAAACAATGTCCCTTGGAAGTCCTAACTTTATTTCTTCCTGCTTTGAATCTTTCTTCTGGGTTTTGTTTGTTTGTTTGTTTGTTTTGTTTTGGGGTTGAGTAAGGTGATTTCCTACAAATTTCTCTGAATGGATTCTGAAGACTTTTCAAGTACAAAGAATGTCAGGGTAGAAAGGAACATTGGAAGCCACCTTTCAGTAGAGCACCAAATGTCAAGCACTGAGGTCAGGTAATCATTCCAGGCATCCTTGACCCCTTGCTGACTGGGACTTCACTCTCCCCTGGGGCAGTGTGAAAATTGTGGCAAGTTCACCTTCATTGCTAGCTGGGCAATCTCTCCATTCTCTCATTAAGGTTCATCCAGCCTTCGTCTACACACTCGGGTGCTCCACAGAACCAACCAGATCCACTTTTACACAATGACCCAAGAGAATGCTAACAGCAGCAAGAAGGTGGCCCTGATCCTTCTCCAGGCTGAACCCACACAACACTTCTTCTAACATCTTCTCTGGTGCTATCTATTTAATATCCTGTTTACTCAGGAGCTTGCAAATCTTTAGCAGAGACATTTTTCCAAGGTTAAGCTCAAGTGTCAAAGGTTTCTTAGGTGAACACTTTGGTCAGCCCCCTCCAGACACTCTCATAACCTATCTTATCCTCGGATCTTCTGTGTTTTTGACATTTCCTCATAAACTATTTCACTTCTTCATTCCCTTTCTAAGTGGCATGGATAATGCTTTCTAGGGAACTTGGGGTTCCTGCCCAATGGTCTGAACAACACAGAAATGCATGTACAGACAAGAGCAAAAAATGGCCCCCACTGTTGGGTGGCCAGTATTTATTCCCATATATTTCCTGTTACTTTCCACACATTCAAGTTGGCCCAAGTATCCAGAGAAATATAAATATGGCACCAAAGCACAATGAGCCCCTGCAACTGCATGATCCAACAGGCTCCATGCACCGCTTTTATGGGGTCTTAATTCAGGACATTAGTCCTCACTTCCCACGTGGACTTGCTTCTTTCCTCATCAGAGCCCCTTCCTCATATTTTTGTCTTGGATTACATCTTTCACAAGGATAAGAACAGCCACACACAAAATTCCTTCTTAGCAACACACTGGCTAAGTCCACACTGAACTAATAGAAGTACTTTATAATTTACAATGGTCTCATTTTAAACCTCATAGCAATCCTGCAGAGTAGGTGTTACCCTCGTTGTATAGATGAGGAAACTGAGGCAGAACTGGGATCTTCTAACATCTTATCTGGAGCAATCTATTTAACATCCTATTTACTCAGCAGCTTGTAAATCTTTGGTAGAGACAGTTTTCTAAGGTTAAGCTCCAAGTGTCAAATAAAGAATAAGTCATAGAGAAAAGAGTAGAGGAATCTGGTTTCTATTTCTGGCTTTACTATAAATTAACTGATGGTTGAACTCTCTGGTCCTCAGTTTACTCATTCATAAAATAAGGAGATCGAATTAGACAATCACCAAAGTTCCTTCCCACTCAGCTGTCCTTTGTCTCCAGTCCTGTCTCTGCCATGTTGCTAAAATTAGGCAGAAAACATTGTTAAAATACCTTTCTTTTTTGTTTCTCATTTTTTTACGTTTCCCAGATTAGCTGGACAGTATTTGATCCACTATGTCAAGAAAGAAAGAAAAAAAAGACCATCTATTTAATAGTCAATTTTTTAGGCAGTCATTTTCTGAAATGAGCAGATCATTCTGGAAATAACAGCCAAAGGGTTGGACCTATGCAAGTCCTCATCCCAAGAAGGACCAGCTTTAGAGTCACATGTTCTTACAGCAGTGGTTCTCAACCCAGGCCACATCTGTCAATGTCTGGAGACATATTTGCTGGTCACAACAGTGGGGAGAGCTCTCACTGACATCTGCAGGGTAGAGACCAAGGATGCTCCTAAACATCTTCCAATGCACAGGACAATTCCTACCATGAACAGTCTTCTGATCTGAGATGACAACCATGTCAAGGTTGAGGAATTCCATCTTAATGAGCAAGGTCAAAGGACAGCCCCAAACTAATTCTTCAAGCTGAACGGGTCCACATGGAAAAACCAAGCTGGGTACATGTCAAAGAACCAAGGGTCCAAGCATCTCTTACCTTGCAAAGAAGGAAGCAGCCACCGAGGTGCCTGTGGAAGTCTCACTGGCCACACAGGAGCCCTGTGAGGCGGGGACGCTGCAGGCCGCTGGCTTGTCTGCATTGTAGCGGTTCAGAGCTGCTTCTGTCAGGCCCTCCCGGCTTGTCTCTGTCATCAGCTGGGAGATCTGACAAGGAAAATGGATGTGGAGCTCAGTACCTGTGGCTTATTGCATTTTCTGACCACTGTCAGAATCTCTCTATTTGGGTGAGGGGACCAGTAGTGTGGGGGAAGGGAGAGGGAGGCAAGTGGGAATGGGTTGGCAAGCTACCTGCATTCAGTGACATGTGGGTGCTAAGGGATTCTGCAATTCTCCAGCATGTTAGTGAGGCTATCATCCAGTTTTCATTTAAAATAATGGAATAAAATAACCCCTGACATTGCAAGTTTCATTATGTCCACCATTTGGAGGGGAAGTGAAACATGAACCATTATCACATGCTCTTTGCAGCCCAAGACCAGAATGGTACCATCAACTAATGCTGATTTCCAACCCCAAGTGGCCCCAGATGCTCTCAAATGGAGAACTGGGCTAAAGGTATAGTTTGATTCAGGAAAAGGTAAGACTGTGTATGAAGAACCCAAGGAACTAAGCAAAATAGTTTTTGGTGGCAGTGTTTGTGGTCTGCTCTGGGAAGTTGGCAAAACAGGTGAATTTGAAAAGCAAATAAAAACAAACATTATTAACAAGAATTGCCAAAGGTCTTTATGGAGGGTTTAGATTTCTGGTTCATTAAAATAAATGGCTTTCATTTTCTTTGTAACGATTGTGTTTATAACAGAAGTCCTAGAGGATAGCCCATTCTGTCTAAATTCCTATCATATGCTAAGAAGAACCACACTTTCTGGGCGAAATGAGAATCTGGTAGAGAAGAATACTGTTGGAAAGTGCTAATCTCATGACAAATGTGATAATTACAGAGGCAAAGTCTAAATGTGCTAAAAACCTGTTCTTTAAAATGTCAGTCTACTTGCAAAATGAGAAAAATGTTAGTTTAAAAGAAAAGGAAACTTCTGTTTAAAAAAAAAAAAGTCTTGAGCCCACTCCAACCCTTATATACCAAGTGGAAAACGCTTCTAATCGCTTGGAAAATACAAGTGCAATAAAGCAAAGATCAGGAACAGTTTCCACTTTGTAACGGAGCAGGCCAGTAGGGCAGTGAAAGAATCCCATTTGTTAACCTTGGAACATAAAAACATTTGTACTTTTCATTATTAGCAGAATGGCCATTTACTCTGAGTCCCATTGACTCGAAACTTGCTCCGCTTAAATTCCTGCTCTTACTTGGAAAGCCCTGGCTGTGTTTGGCTGAAGTTCTGCCAGCGCACACTTTCTTATTCCCATTCATTCAGCGCATTGGAAGGAAACTTGACCCTCTGTAAGAGAAACTGGAGAGGAGGCAGCAAAGGCAGCTGGTGGCCCGCAGGACATTCCCTGCACTCAGCAAGGACTGCTGACTCTGCAGAGGGCCCGTGTCACCTCCTCTACACTTCCTCTGCTGCCTGTGGCAGGAAGGGAAGGCTACCCTCCTGCCATTCCCCCAGAGGAAGGAGGCCGGCCAGAGGGGGGCAGCTGAGAATATGGTTATGAATACTATTATCCACATTAATTAGTGTTTGTGGAGACTCAGGTGGTACAGGATGCCAGCCTATATAATGACTGTCCAAAACAAATCCGCAAAATCATGGCACCGTTGTTTTTTTCAAAGAGCTATAATTTGGGCGTGGGATGTGGCTCAGGGGTAAAGCACTCTCTAGCACACGTGAGGTCCTGGGTTCCATTCCCAGTACAGCCAAAAAAGCCTGGTGGCACATGCATGTTATCCTCCAGGGACTTGGGAGGCCGAGGCAGGAGGATCACAAGTTCAAAGCCAGCTTCAGCAATTTAACAAGGCCCTAAGCAACTTAGCTAAACCCTATATCAAAATAAAAAATCAAAAGGGCTGGGGATGTGGCTAAGTGGGTAAGTGCCTGGTTAAAAAAAAAAAATCTACAATCTAAGGCACACATCTGATCTTGACACACAATGATATATTTGAAAAAAGTCAGTAAGCCAGGAAGTGAGTGTGCTTTGCAATTAGTGACACCTGATACACTTTAGTGGGTGTTTTCATCCAGTCTGTTGCTTGTGTCATTTTCCTTTCCTTACTGTATTTCCAATAGGGGAGAAAAAAATAGGATTCTTCTGCCTCAGTACGTATTATTGTCCTTAAAGGTGCCCAGCAAACCCAGAGAGAAGCCAGCATGTGTGTGAGGAACGGGAAGGCACCTCACAGAGGCACAGGCTTCTGAATGGTTCCAAACTCCGGAGTCTGGCCCAGGATGGATATGAACATCCTGCGGGATCATGATTTTTCAAAAATGCCACTCGGCAAATGAATTTCAAGGCATAAGTTTCCTCCAGAGAGAGCTACTGGTTATCTTGTGCCAAGAAACATTGGGTCTTTTAAAGAATTGGGAATTTATGGGCATGGGACATTGGATTCCTAAGCCCACAAGTAGGATTATCCAGTAATTGATTGCTTTTAGAAGTTAGCATAATGGAATGCCTAAGAGTTAAGATGGATCTACAAGATCATTGTCTTCCAGTTCTTCTCTTTAGGTATCTGAGGACTGGAGGAGTGATCCGCCAAGTCATGCCAGTGCTCCTCCCTCCTCCCTTCTAGCTGACCCCGCTCTTTCCAATTAAAAATATAAATACATTCTCCTTCCTTCTAATTAAAAAAAAAAGCATATAGGAAAAAAAGTCAAATGATAATAAAACATGTGCAAGTGTATCCGCTACCATCATTAACAAATATTAACTTTTTTTTTTATCTTGTAAGATAACCAAACACATAAAATTGAAATTGAAACTAAAGCCCATGCCTCTGTGTGAGGCACCTTGCCAATCCCCACACATGGCCTAGTGGTTTACAGGGCACCTTCAAGGACAGCTGATCCGCACTGAGGCCGAAGAATTCTATCCCCATCTCTCCAGACTTGGGATGAGAAATACAGTAGTGAAAAGGGAACATCACAAACAGAAGACTGGGCGAGAGGCCCCTCCAGAGTACACAAGGTGTCAAAAATGGCACAACACACTCATTTGCTGGTTGACTTTCCTCACAGGTCATTGTGCATCAAAATCAGATGTGTGACTCAGATAATAGCTTCTAATATAAAAGTCACATGGCCCATCCTGCCCCTTTCCAGACACAGCCAGAATCACCTTCCTATCCTTTTCTGTGCACTCACACCCGCTCCCCCCAGGAATCAGACTGAGCTCATTTCGGAGTTTATTTGAATGGTCTCTACAGATTTTGTTCTGCTTGTTGCACAATGCAGAGATGGCATACCATGAGATGCCTACTTCTATAGACTCTTATCACCTAAAATTTCATGTTCTCTTTTGTACTTATATGTACTATCTCCTTCTAGGATTACAAACTTTCACAAATAATACACAACGTTTTGGCTACAGCAACTGCTAATTTATCTCCCCCTCATTCTGCATTCTAGGACCCTGGCCTCCCCCAAGGTCCTCAAATACACTTCCTGCTCCTCCTGCCACAGGGCCTTTGCACATGCTTTTATTCTCTGGAATACATCAAATTTTCTTTCAGTGTCTGAACTTTGGATTATACTACGCATCCAATAATAAATCATTTTTTCTTACTTTGCAGCATCATTTAGGCCTAGGGCTGTTTTGCCTACCACTGCATCCTCAGGTCAGCACAATGCCTGGCATACAAGGATACTCAAAACATATTTGTGGTATAACTCTAAGCTATTGATATTTTCTACTGCTCACATTTATTTGATTAAATCTTCTCTTAAATAAGAATACATTTCTTTTTAAAATTTCATTGTTTTGAACACTTGCCTAGCAAGCATGAGGCTCTGGGTTCTATCCCCAACATCACAAATTAAAAACAAAACAAAACAAAACAAAAAACCTATTTTTCTTTTTCTATTTTGTTGGACTCTTAGAATATGACAATATTTTCCCCCAACTCTATCGCTGCCCAAGTGAAATAGATTTGTTCTACTATGTGATAGTTCAAGGATCGAGTGCTGCCCCACCTTGCAGTGTTGGGGCCAAACACACATGCTAGGCCAGTGTTCTACCACTGAGCTCCTCCCCCAGCCGTTTCTTTTCCATCCACTAGTTCAGTTGTTCACTCATTCATATGAATAACTACACATTGGGTATTTGGTAGAGCCAGACACTCTGGCAGGCAAAGGTGCAAACATTTCTAGGCATCTCTGATACCTTCAATATTTACTTCTTCCTTTTTTAAAAATTTTCTCTTGCAAGTTGTGTACAGTTTCCTGGCAGTCAATATCTATCTTGCTCAAATGTACACTACAGGACAGCTGGCCAAAAGCAACTTCTGTTACCTCTGCTTAGCTCATCTTTATAAAGAGGAGAGGAGAAGGGCTTGCTCTCAGTAGAAGCAGCTACAGATGCTTTAATTTAACAATTAACATTTTCTCAGCTTCAGATAATTAGTGAGAGAGAAAGAGCTTTGTTGCCAAATAAGCTCTCATCCTTCACCCATTTACTGGGATGTAGGCTTCTGAGTGCTGGGTTTTGATGGATACCTTCTTACCAGGATATTGTCTTGCTTGTCACCAAGATACTTGTGACCAAAAAATTTATTCTCACTCAACCTTGAAAACTAACCCTATGACCATATCACAGGCTGTAACTAAATCATCCCATGAATCAAAGTAACAAAATAATTGCCTACTGGGTAAGATTCAGATAGGAAAGAACTGCTCTGAACCAAATTCTTTCTGTGGCTCTCTGAAACTGTGACAGCTTGTTCCTGGATTGGATGTACGTTAAGGCTAACGATCTGTATTTATGACAAATATATCACCATAAAGAGATGCCCTTACATCCGTCCACCCCTTAGCTGCTGATACCCACTTCCCCTTTCTTCCATTGGAAACAGTCAATACAAAGTTGTGTAGACAGGTCGGCTGCTCTTCCCATTTTACAGATGAGAATAAAAGAGGCTCAGAAGAGACAGACGATTTGTCTCAGGCTCACTCAGCCAAATGGGAATAAATACAGGCCTCTGATTCCATTCTTTTTGTTTTATTTTCCTTCCTTATACCACCTGACCTCAGTTACTG